CGACACCCACAACATCACAATCTGCATTATTCCTTAGCTGCACTTTACTATTATCCGTGCACTGATAAGTAGTAAATCAATTTTTATTTGATATGGAATGAAACGAACAATCAAAATCCATAATACATCCATTAAACGATGAATCCTTAGCGACAAACAAGACAAAATCAGCACCATCCAAATTATTGTTAGCTACAGCTACAACATCATTAGTAGACTCAATTCTAATTCCATTACTCTTGTTGTTTTTCGGCTTAAAGCAATTCCTTCTAAGATGCTTCCTCTTGCCACAACTCTAACAGACAGCCCTACCAGTCCTAAATTGACTATATTTATTCGGGTTTATATAACTTCTACTAACACGAGTTTCAATTCTTCCTCTATTTTCACATACTAAAGCAGTAGATACATGTTCACTAAATTCTCTTCTAGGGATGTCCTCACTTAATATTAAATCACGAACCCCATCAAACGTCAAGCTTGTTGACCCAGGTGAATTACTAATAGCAGTAATAGTAGTATTCCAATTGTCAATCAATAAGGATAACAGAATCAAAGCACGTATCTCATTTTCAAAATCAATCTCAACTGAACTCAATTAACTAACGATCACACTAAATTCATTGATATGATCTACAACTGACGCACTTCGCTCATCTTTAAGTTAAACAAACGTCAAATCAAATATATTTTATTAATAAGGGCTTCTCATACATGTATGACAGGGCTTCCATCAGTCCCATAGTAATCTTCTCGTTCACGATATTAATCGCGACGTTACGGACCAACGTCAACCGGATAACACCCAATGCTTGTCGATCCTGCAATTCCCATTCAGCTTGCTTCATAATCTATGGTTTCTCCCCAGATAGAGGTAGGTGCAGATTCCTTTTGTACAGATAATCCTTAATCTGTAACTTCTAGAAACAAAAAAATCCTTCCCATCAAATCTATTGATTCTGACTTTTCCTTTTTCTGTCGCCATCGATTCGCTTCAACTTAGCCAAGCAAAGCTCTGATACCAATTGTTGCGGAAGCAATCGATCGAACAATAAAATAGACGGAATAAGAAAATAAATCGAACAACATATTTACATGGTTTGATCGTAGTGACCTACATCCATGAGGAGAGTAGAAACGAATTCCATTATAGATCAAACGATACAACAGAAATTACAACCACACTCAAATTGCTCAACCACTCTCAGTGTTTCATAGCCCCTAATTACACCCAATAATTCACACAATGTTTAGCCCCACATTTTTTTACGAAATAATCTCTCAATCTTACGAAGAAATCACACAAATCAAATTACAAAATTTAATCGGCTTCAACACTAAATTATTGATGTCATTCCATGAAGAAAGCCCATGCCAAGCACTCGATTTAACATGGCGCTTCACTGATCTCACATCAACAACGGCGCTTCAAGACTTCAATCCCTATATATATATATATATATATATATATATATATATATATATATATGCCATCCCCGTTTGACCGAAATATGGTCTTCAAGTCCACGTTGGACTTCAAAATTTTTGAAAGTAAAAAATAGCCACGTACAGAAGAAGGAAACAAAATCAAAGTGGGATTAGTCAACAAAGTCCAAAATCTTGGACTTTCCTCTTTTCTTTGTGTTTTTCTTCACGACTTCAACAGAGAAGTTAATTTCCAAATATCTCAAACAAAGTCTAAATCCTGACTTTCGTATTCTAACGTGGACTCCAATAGAGGAAATAATTATGTTCTTGATCACGACTTCAACACGGATGCAATTTCCGTATTATGTATTACTTGATTTCGGACTTCCGTAAAATATCCAATTTGAAATATTCAAACCTCTACAAATAATAATTAATATCGGATTGGGTTTCTTCTATCGGACTCAAACTCGAGACATATTTTAACAGATTCAACCCCAACTCTTCTCTCAATAAATAATAATACGATAGTCACTTACAAGTGGAATCGACCTTAGGAGATCTCTTGAGGAGTCGAGAGCCGTTGAATTCAATATTTGAATGATAAACGGCAAGTAGAGAAAAAAAAATCTGATAATTTCCTTTTTCATAATACTTTCAAAGCAATACTAAACTTTATTTGAGAAATCATATAAGAAAAGGACACCTAGCTACTGCTGAGAAACACCTATCTGAAATTAATTGTTAGAAGATAACTTGGCCAAAAATTAGAGTCGTCTTGATCTCGAATCTTGCATAAGTGATAGCCACATCGATGACTTCAAGCATCCTCAATCATGTCAGGATGGACCAGGCCTTGTTCTAGACCACGAGTTCTTGACAATGTTTGTCATTCTATAAATTTCATCAAGGGGTCCAAAAATCAAGAGAAATGGGGAAAATTTGAGGAAGGAAAACGGAATTGGGTATATTTTCACTTGCGCTTTTTGCGATTGGCTCCCATACTTTTTAGTTTTTTGGTAAATAATCCTCTTAATTTTTTTTTTGTTGTTGATAGTAATCTGCTTAATTTGTAGCGTATAGGATGGAGCCATCAATATGTAAAGTTTTTTCAAGTTCTTTTAATGATCTAGGGTATGAGTGCAGAGAGCAAGATCAAGCGGTTTTTGTATTAGCTAAAAAGCTGTCGGAACATGAGTTTCTACGCTTATTTTCTGTGCTAAAGAAATCCATTTTCTCACCTTAAAAAATATCTTCTCCATTTTTATAACGCTTTTGTGTTAACCGTTAAGTAATTGGATGGTCAAATTTCACGATTAGTTAACTACTCCGAAGCCGTTGAATACAGTTTACTATAACACAACACTCCGCTAGACTTCAATTGTCAGCGTCAGGTTGTCTCCGAAATAGAAAGGAAAAAAAACAAATCGTCCGACTCCATGAGCCGACATTTGAGTCCGAATGTGTGTATTTATAAGTTTAACCATGGTTTTCCTATAGTAAGAGTGGACGTCGGATTTCTCTTAGTTTCTTTACTCATTAGCAATTTCATTTGAAAATTTGATGTACAACTAAAGAGCTCTCTGAATTAGTACAGTACGTTTTGGTGATGAATATTCACCGCTACCACCATTTATTATCCAGGACTAATCCATTTAACATGTGTTTATCTCACGTACAATTTACCGCAGATGGTCAAATTCCAAAATCGTAGCATCACCTCCCTCCAGCCTCCTCTTCCCTTCCTGCCTTTATACTTCATAAAGGACAGTAAATAGCTACCAACGCTAGCTAGCGATCCTCTTGAGGGCGTCACCCCATAAGGGGTATTTACTTTGTTTCACATATTATTACAATGGGCCGATTCTATTTAGACATCGAATCGTTCCATTTTATCAGTCTTTCCTTATTCTTGTGATATGGTTTGAATTAGTCTACTGATTGACGAACAAATATATTGATGAATGAGACAGACAATAGTCGATTCCTCATATCATCAAATATAAACAATCTCATATGTGGATAATTTAGCCCACATCGTGTCTTATTTAGATCTAACTCGTTATTGATACGATCATTTGAAAGTCACTTTTATCATAAAAGTAAGAAAAAAGAGGAGTTCTTATCTCATTGTTTTTTTGTTTTCGAGGTAATTTCACCATCGCCGGTACCAAGAGAATCAAAAGTTGTGCAGTATAGTTACTTATCTCATTTATATAGTGCAAGCACGCTCAATTTGAGGATGTGGAGAGAGGTGGGAGTCATGTCTGTTCACATTTTAGGGGATATGCTTTTCTCAGGGTTGATGTCAATTTTCCCCTGGCGGAGATAATCATGGTGATTGGGATTGGCTTTGTTGGACATTAGCAGGACACTGTAAGCATATGAAATAATTATTTTCCTACGTGGAAGGAGAGTACTAGGCAATTTGTGCATAATCACCAAAGGGCTAGATTTTCTATAGACCGAGAGCATAACAAGTTTTCATAGTTCTACCAATCACTTATATGGAGTTCTAATTTGCAAATATGCAATTTTAGCTTAATAACAGTAGACACAAGTTGGGTCGATTCAGGTTTCCCCAAATTTACATGGATCTCCATCGAAAAATGTCGATATGGTCATTATGCATAAAAATTCCATACAAGCATGCCCTGCAAACACTGTTAGACTCGTCAACCACCACCTATGACATTTTAATGCCGAAATTGGATGGAATTGTTATCGACGGTAAATTTGATACAAGGGTACCACTTTGAGGGTTTTTGGGGGTCGAAAAATCGTTTAGGTGAATGTGTTCAAGCAATATCAGTTTGCGATTTTCTGTTATGCTAATCCTAATAATGTAAAGTAAAGTTCATACTAGGATTGCCTTCATATTCTTCATTGAGTCACGCTAGAGTTCATTCTCTCTCACTTTCCATCCCATTAATCACGCCTCGTTTAAAACTTGTCGGCCCGAAGTTGTCTGTCTATTCAACAAGCAAAATTCAATGAAGTAGACACCCCAAATTTGGGTAGATTCGGGTCATCATGCATAAAAATTCCATACAAGCATGCCCTGCAAACATTGTTAGACTCGTCAACCACCACCTATGACATTTTAATGCCGAAATTGGATGGAATTGTTATCGACAGTAAATTTGAGACAGGGGTACCACTTTGAGGGTTTTTAGGGGTCGAAAAATTGTTTAGGTGAATGTGTTCAAGCAATATCAGTTTGCGATTTTCTGTTATGCTAATCCTATTAATGTAAAGCAAAGTTCATACTAGGATTGCCTTCGTATTCTTCATTGAGTCACGCTAGAGTTCATTCTCTCTCACTTTCCATCCCATTAATCACGCCTCGTTTAAAACTTGTCGGCCCGAAGTCGTCTGTCTATTCAACACGCAAAATTCAATGAAGTAGACAACCCCCCAACCACCACCACACACCCCCCCCCCCCCCCATAACAATTCAACACACATGAATGGTAGTGGGGAAAATCTGATCCGCGTCTAACTTTCTTTGGTCTTCGTTCCATTGCTCCACGAACCATGTGATATATTATAGATGAGAACTACATCTTGGAACTCCCATCAGATAGAAACATTCTTGAAGCACAGCATTCATCAGTTCTTTCAATGGCTGCCTCTTCAAATCTGAATAGTAATTACCATGTGTTCCTAAGTTTCAGAGGCATGGACGTTCGCAAGAACTTCCTCAGTCATCTCTATGCAGCTCTAAACCAGAAAGGAATACATACTTTTCAGGATAGTGAGGAGCTGAGGAAAGGAGATCAAATATCACAGGCGCTCATGAGGGCGGTCGAGGAATCGCACGTCGCAATCATCATTTTTTCTAAAGGCTATGCTTCCTCACTGTGGTGTTTGGAAGAGCTCGTGAAAATCATGGAGTGCAAGGAGGGAAAGGGCCTGATTGTGTTCCCGATGTTTTACAAAGTGGAACCAAGAGAAGTGAGAGGGGTGAGAGAGAGTTATGGGAGAGCTATGGCTAAGCATGAGTACAAGCTCGGGAAGGATTCGGAGAAAGTGAAGAGATGGAAGAAGGCCCTCTTTGATGCCGGTAGCTTGTCTGGGTGGGACCTGAATGATAGGTATGCACAAATGTGACGCAATGCTTTGCGATTGTTAACTCGTGATTGTTTGTTACATGTCAAATCGTATGTGTATGTTTAAATTGCCCAAATGATGCATCAACTGCTTTGAATTTGCAGTAGGCACAAAAGTCGAATAACCAAAATTTCAAGCTAGCAGATTCTTCGAATTCGATTCTTTCTATGGAGATAATGAGAAATTCTTGTCTTAGGTAAATAGTGTGATTCATAGTACCCGAGTCATTATTGTCTTCAGGTGCAGGTTCTTTGAAATTTTCCTTGCGCAGATGTTGGCGCTGGTATGTGTTTTTTTCTTTTTATATTATTATTTGCTATTCTTCTTATGAAGTTTTCCTTATCACATTAGAGGTTGAATTCCCGCCATGGTTTGAAATGCTAAAACATGTATCTCTTTCTTTTGAGTGCCCATCAGAGATGAAGCGGAGCTCATACAACTCATCGTCAAGGAATTATCAATTCATCTCGACCAAACACCCTTACATGTCGCTAAGTATCCAGTTGGAATAGATTCCCGAGTTCAAGAACTGATATGGTCGTCACAGCATGAGTCGGCTGATAATGATGTTTTGATGATAGGTCTATGGGGACCTGGAGGCATAGGGAAGACAACAACTGCTAAGGCCCTATATAATGCTATTGAGAGACAATTTCATGGTTCTAGTTTTTTGGCGCAAGTTAGAGAAACTTCGAACCAAAGCAATGGTCTAGTTGCTTTGCAAGAAAAACTTCTATCTGAGATCTTATCTCCTACAGATTTAACAGTCTATAGTGTGGACAGAGGAATTAGTTTGATACGGGAAAGACTATGTTGCAAGAAGGTTCTCCTAGTTCTTGATGATGTTGATCGGTTGGATCAACTTAATGCGTTAGCCGGAGAAGGCGATTGGTTTGGCAAAGGAAGTAAAATCATTGTTACATCAAGAGATAAACATTTGCTAACTTCTCATGGTATAAATTGTGTGTATGAAGTTGAAGCTTTAGAAGACGATGAAGCACTAGACCTTTTTGGTCGGCATGCCTTCCCAAATAGAAAGAAGGTGGAAATACGAAGGGATCTCATAGATAGAGCACTGCATTATGCTGACGGCCTTCCATTAGCCCTAGAAGTGTTGGGCTCATTCTTACGTGGAAGAAAGGAACCTGCATGGGAAAGTACGTTGCATAAACTCTTCAAAATTCCTGAACCAACTATCAATCGAGTTCTCAAGATAAGCTTTGATGGATTGGAGGACAATGAGAGGGAGATTTTCCTCGATATAGCTTGTTTCTTTAAGGGGAAAAGTATAGGATACATTAAGGAAGTTCTTAACAGCTGTGATGTCCACACAACCATAGGAATAGAAATTCTCATTGAGAGGTCCTTGATAAAAAATGAGAATGGGACCCTGCAAATGCATGACTTGATCCAGTTGATGGGTAAGGATATTGTTAATCAAGAATGTCCCTATGATCCTGGGAAGCGCAGTAGATTATGGCTTTTCGAAAGTGTCCAAGACATTCTACGTGAAAATACGGTAAAAGTTGTTTATGTCAATTTTGCTTAATCTCAATTTTTACATTACTCTTATTCATGCAGTTAAATGTAAATCTCAATCAGAAATTTTGTCTGACGATTTGCTTTGTTATGGATAGGGAACGAATGCAGTAAAGGCCATAGTATTGGACTTGCCCGCACCAGAAGAGATAACCATTAGTCCTCAAGCTTTCACAAACATGAAAATGTTGAGAATGCTCATTTTGCATGAAGTGCATTTCTTCTCACAAGGTCCTATTCGTCTCCCTAACGAGCTAAGATGTCTTGAATGGGCCAATGCCTCGGAACTAGAATTTGGCTCTGGTCCGAAGAAACTCGTTAGACTCGATTTACAGAAAAGTCATATCAAACAATTAGGGGGCAAATTTGAGGTAGGCCCTTGTGATGATTAGCTTTCCCTTCTTATAGCTGTGAAAATATTTGCAAAGCTCGATGACTGTACTAGTGTGTTTTTGCAGAATTTTAGAAAGTTGAAGTCCATCAATTTTTGGGAGTGCAAGTCCCTGGCTAGTGTTCCTGACCTTTCAATGGTTCCAAATCTGGAGAGCTTGGATCTTAATTTGTGCAAAAGCTTGGTGGAGGTTCACCAATCCGTCGGATATCTTGACAAGTTAAAATCTTTGCGGGTACAATCATGCTTTAATCTTAGTATATTTCCTAGAATACTCAAGATAAAATCTCTTCAAACCCTTAGTCTCAAAGGTTGTCCTAAACTTGAGAAGTTCCCTGATATTCCGGAAAAGATGGAACATCTAGGAGACCTTGATCTAAAACATATGGCTATTAAAGAACTCCCTACATCAATTGAAAATCTTGTCTCAGCGAGGACAATAGAATTATCACATTGCAAAAACCTCACAACACTTCCATCAAGCATTTATAAATTGAAAAATCTCAAGTCTCTTATACTTGATCATTGCTTGAATATTGTCACGTTTCCAAAGAACCTCAAGGATTCAACTGATCCTGATGGCAATCTGGGATTCCAAAATCTAGAGGAGTTGAGAGTTAATGGTTGCAATCTATCAGAAGTTGACTTCCTTGAGAGTTCTTCCAGTTTTCCCAAATTGGCGTACCTATATCTTCCAAATAACAAGTTTACTCATTTGCCGACATGCATCAACAAGTATGATTATTGGAAAGACTTGTTTATTTATAAATGCAAGCAAAGCAAAGGGGTCAGTCTTGCTGATGGGTCATCACTTGAGGTCAGACTCTCTCTCTCTCTCTCTCTCTCTCTCTCAAACTATGGATGCTTTATATGTGTACAATATGCATGACAGAAACTCTTGAAGATGAGCAAGGTCGTCATTACCCTAAAGGGAAGAGAGATGCCAGAATGGATTGTCCACTGTAAAGAGGGTTTCATATCTTTCATGGTTCCTCAGGACTTCTATGACAAGTTTTTAGGACTAGCACTCTGTGTTATTGTTGACAAGAAGGAAGGAGGAGAATACCTTATTGAATGTGAGCACAAAATATTTGTTAATGGACAAGAATTGATTTCGAGTTTGACCCTTTTATGTCCATCGGAATCCGGTCGTGTATGGCTTGCATATTACCCACGCGAGAGAATGAGCGGAGTAGAGAAGCTTCTGCAAAACGATTGGAGCCATTTCCAAGTTTGCTTCACAACGCGGGAAGGTAACATAAGAAAGTGTGGATTCCGTCTAATATGCAAGCAACAGGAGGATGATTCTGTACTCCAACACCATCAGCAGATAGAAACAAATTGGAGTTTCAAGGAAAGAGACTCAGAAGAAGACAATTTTCAAGAGACACCGAGGAAAGAAGATAGTCCAGTAAAACATAACTTTACAGAGAAGAGCTTAACTATGGTGAGAGTATGGCTTGCAGAACATGCCTGTCGAATTGGTCACGACTTTTGTTGAGGAAGTGATTCGCGGTGATTTTGATTCTAATGCCTCTTGCTTTTTTCTTTCTTGGGTCTCTACTAGAAATTTGAAAATGTCTGCTCCTTCGATCAGAATTCAAAATCACTATGAAATAGAGGTTTCGCATCATGCTACTGACATGGTTGAGGACTTCTTTTCCCTCTGTTTCTTTATGATTTGTGATGCTGAGTGCATTAATTCAAAATTAATGGGATTCTTGTTGAATGGCCATGGTCATCCAAGTTGCTCTGTGAAATTTATCATATGGACGTTTGTCACCTCTCTTAATCCAATTAATGATGTCAGCACTTCATACTCTAAAATTCTGAGATAGTAAGTTTTACTCAATCTAATATAATCTATATCTTTGGGAAACTGTTGATCTCATTGTCTCACAAATCAAAAGGTCTATACAGAGAAGATTAGTTGACTACTCTATTGTCACTAGACAGATTGCATTGGATAGGTACAAAGGGAGAGCTTCAGCTTCAAGGCTTTGCATTAAGCAAAGGATTTTGACTCGGAGGATTTTTTTTAAAAAGTAATAGTGTTTGGTAAATACCTTGTAAAAATACTTCTTGCAAAGCATTTTTTTTAAATAAGAAAAAAAAAAGAGAATGGAGGAACCTGCAGTTGCAGATGAAAGCTCAGGCAGGGGGCGCAACACTAGAATCGGTGCTTGTAACATCCTGAATTTTGACCCGTTATCGGAACCAGTAAAGCGTATAATAATTCTCGTGTGATTTTAGTGAGCCTCGCCCGGACTTGATCAATCACGGGATACTAACCAAATGGGAAAGGCTAAATAGGAACAGGTACGTGGACCGAGAAACCGATCGCGATTGGACACTGATTTCGAGAAACGTCGAGGGAATATCTTGAGCCAATATGGGCCGATCTTAGGAAGATAATGGATTTGATATAGTTAGTAACGTACGATTGGATCGCGGGTGATTCCGCACGACCGAAAGTACGCCTGACAAACAAATTCCAAATTTTATCCGAACGATCGCGACCCCCGGTACTAGTGATAATCTCTTACCTTCTCTCGAGATTTGAGACTATCGAGACTCGGACAGTCTTAGGTCGATACGCGTAACACCTAAACAGCCACCCGTTAGTGAGAGATCCTAAGATTTTAAAAAAAACGAGCTATTTTGATCGCGATATTGAGCCGAACTCCGATATCAAAATTTCAAGGGTAATTATGACTATTTTGTAGGACGGACGTCATTTTATAGTGGCCAAGTAAGTTTGGGACAAGAACGGCTGAAAATAGGAATTTTGACAAAAATTGGGAAAATTACGGTTTTGCCCCCGTGGGCACCGGGGCAGGATTCGGAGGCCGTTTGAGGTTATTTTTCACGGCCAAGGTCATTTTGGAGTGGCCACGTACATTTAGAGTGGTTTTGGACAAAAACGGGAATTTCGGCAAAAATTGGAAAAATAATATTATTTTATTCCCGGGACTTCGCAGGCGATTTTCGAAGGCGTAGAAAGTGAATTTCGCGAATCCGACACCGTATTATGTCTCCCATGAACATATAGGACCGGTATGGACAAAAATTGAAATTTCGGTTCTGGATCGGAAAATTACGAAAATGCCCCTAAGCCATTTTAATTTATTCCGAAATTTGGATAAAATTTGGGGACTAACTAAGATTAAGTAGACCAAACCAGACCTGGTCAGCCTTGGTTAGGGGCATTTGTCCATTATACCCTTGAATTATTGGAGAGGAGTGAACCTAAGCCATTGGATTCAAGGGCAAATTGTCCAAACCCTTGAATTGTTGACACTTGGACTCCACTCACCCAAGTTTGACCACTTTTGACCTGCTTCTTCTCTCTCCTCAGTCTCTCTCAGCTCACGTTCTCTCTCTCCCGAGCAGCCTCACGATCGTCCTTTTCACGCCGCTCCTCTGTCATTCTGCTCCGCCGGCCACTGTTCACGCCGGAACAGCCGCGCCGCCGGAGCTGCTGACCTCTGGCCGCCGCACAGCACCCCCTGGCACCGCCCCAGCCTCCGTCGACCAGCCCCACCCTCTGCATTGTCCGCCCCACAGCAGCTGTTCCAGGCGAGAGAGAGAGAGAGAGAGAAACGCCGCCGGTCTTCACCTCGCTGGCACCGCGCCGCCGCCCACCGCCGTGCGCCGCCCTCGTCGACCACCTCACCCTCACCGTCTCTCTCCACCATCCTCAGCCCGTACGCCCAGCAACTCCCCTGTTCCGGTTGTGTGTGTGGCCGTGAACCACACCGGCGCCGCCGTGACCGCCGGCTTGCCCCCGGAGCGCCGCCGTCGATTCTCACCGCGTGTCGGTAATCGAACGCCCGCTCCCGTCGCCTCGAGTCGATTTTAGGCGAGTATAAACCCCTAAACCCTTAATTAGTTTATTTGTGCATTTTAGAGGGTAATTAGGGGGTTAATTAAGCCTAATCATGGTCTAGGTATGCCTAATGTTGTGTGGGGTGATTAGGGGACCTAATTAGTGCTTAATGAAATGATTTAGAGGTGAATTAAGGCCTAATTAGTCTGCTGCCCTGGTACTGTTCATCAGTACCGAAATTGCATAATTTGTCTAAGTGTGGCACTAATTAAGTTCAAGTACTAATGACTTGGAAGTTGACATTTTGGGGATTAATTAGGCTTATTTGAACCTTAATTAAGTGGATTTGGTTGTTGGGTGATTGGGGTTTAAGATTAGAGCCTAATGAGGGTGTTTAATTGTGGTTTAGTGGGCAAAATGTGTCCTCCCCTGGTACTGTTCATTGAGTACCGAATTTGTGCAATTTATCCAAGTTGAATACTTAGTTGAGTCATTGGTTGATGGCAAGGAGTTAGGCATTTTTAGAGGTTACTTAGGACTTATATAAATCCTATCTTGTGACTCTGCACCAATGAGCATGAGGACTAAGTTTGATTTGCCCAAGGTGGGCCTTAGGTGCATTACATTGAATTGTAATAAATGTGCGAATCAATGTCGAGTGGATTGGGTGAGAACGGAAGTATATTGATTGTCTTGAGGATGAGTTGAATGCGTCTAAGTCGAGAATGAGTATGCTTGGTATATTAGTGTGGGCGATTAACCTTGAGTGCCTTGGCTTGTATTCATCCCTCGTGACGTTGATTGATCAATATTGGACGCATTGATGTACATGTTTGAAGTGATTCAAATTGTGGCATTCGGGTCGGGCCTTCGGGTCGAGATAAATTGTGGCCTTCGGGTCGGGCCTTCGGGTCGAGATAAATTGTGACCTTCGGGTCGGGCCTTCGGGTCGAGATAAATTGTGGCCTTCGGGTCGGGCCTTCGGGTCGAGATAAATTGTGGCCTTCGGGTCGGGCCTTCGGGTCGGGAGAAATTGTGGCCTTCGGGTCGTGGCCTTCGGATCGATTTAAGTGAATATGTTTTATATTGATATTAAAAGTCTAACCTGCAGGGTAGAGTAGTGAATTGGGCTGTGGGCCCGGGTGAGCTTATATTGATTGTTATACTGGTTTATTTATCTATTTATGTGTTTTATTTACCCTCTGGAGGTGCACATTAGCCTAGTTTAGGATTAGTGGTTTTTTTACTTGCTGAGTTTTCTCACGGTTGTGGTAAAACCGACTTTTCAGATCTCCCGCCATGAACTTCGACGATGCACCGTTACGCTTTGGGATTCCCCACCATATAGAGCGTACGCTGACCGTGCACCCCGTGGGGAACGGGGAGAAGTACTATAGACACTATGCTTTAGTATGGGTAGACGTAGGCTTAGCTCACTTTGAGACTCACGAGTACCTAGCCTGGTGTTTCCGGGATCGTTTTGGAGTAGAATTCGGTCCCATCAGGTCCGCCGACGTCCCGTTTGTGGGAGAGGGTCTGCTAGATATTCAATGTCCAGACGGTGATGTAGTAGATGTTGATATGGAGGGCAATCCTGATTCTGAGGTTGAGTACGAGATTGTGGAAGAAGAGGAAGAGCACGAGGAGCTTGGTGGATTAGCTTTCGAGCCGGAGATAGTCGATCCAGCTCCAGAGCAGGTGGACGCAGAAGCCCCTGAGCCTATGGACATAGACGAGTACGAAGAACAAGACCCTGAGCCAGAGATAGAGTTGGAAGCCATGAGTTCTGAGGAGGATCGAGAGCGACTCGAGAGTTCTTCGGAGTCGTCGGGTTCTTATCCTGACTGGGTACCGTAGGTTAGATATCAGCATAGGAGTGAGGGTCGACACTTTTTGACCGTACCCCTCCGGTAGTTAGTTTGACACCCCTAGGTCACCGATCCCTTTTTGTTCGTGGCCTTTTGATGTACCTTTTTGTTTATAGATGGATAATGTATTTGGGGGTTTAATCAATCGTAATTTGTTTTCTCTTGTCACTCGTGGTTGCTTTTAAATTGTCTGGGTGTATAT